GAATAGGTCTAAAGAACATTATAATTACAGTATTAATAACAAAGTAAACCAGAGTTTTGTTCGTGAATTAAAATAATTAAGAAATATTTCTAAATAAAGTATTTTTTTCTGTATTTTCTAACAGACGTGTGTAGTTCAGACTCCGCAAGGTCAGGAGTACGAGGGCCGCCGTTACAACGGGAAAGGGGTGAGTGATGTTCTTGTTTTACAAGGTCTTGTTAACTTCCAGTCGAGTGTATCCTCAGGGTTTCTGTCGTCACGCTCGTCTCCACAGATCACCGGTGTGTCCGTCCTGCGGGCAGGAGAGACCATGGAGCCCGCCCTGAGGGCCGTGTGCAAGGACGTCCGCATCGGCAAGATCCTCATCCAGACCAACCTCGACTCAGGCGAACCAGAGGTAAAATAAAATGTGTTGTTTCGTATCAAGTGCTGCTCACCTGTGCTACGGTTTTCTTCGGCTTCACACGATGTTGGATAGTGTCTCAAAATTCACATTAAACAAAAGATAAAAATGTTTTGATTGTTTCTTTTTTTTCTCTTTTCTTCCACATGATGTGTGTCTCCGTGGTAACTAACCCTTCCTGCTTTTGTAACCATGGCAACCTGTCTCCTCCTCTCTGGCCTCGCCAGCTGCATTACCTGCGTCTGCCCAAAGACATCAGTGAAGATCATGTCATCCTAATGGACAGCACAGTCTCCACTGGCGCCGCTGCCATGATGGCAGTACGAGTCTTATTGGTGGGTGCAGATTAACATCATTATTCTTCATAGAGACGACAATGGGCCCCGTCTCCTCTTCGACAGTCACATGTGTTTTATTGCTCATCTGTGTGTTTTTTCACTCGTTTTCGTCCTGGTGAGGTTAGATTAGCGTTATTTCTGCAAAGAGAAATGTCAAATATTTTGCTCCCTTTGCTCTCCACTTGCTAATTACCCCTCTGATGATGAGCTGGCAGGCATTGACAGTTGCTGCTGTGATGTGTGTGTTGCTGAGCAGGATCACGAGGTGCAGGAGGATAAGATCGCATTGGTGTCGCTGTTGATGGCAGAGCTCGGGGTGCACTCAGTGGCCTACGCCTTCCCGAAGGTCAAAATCATCACCACCGCTGTGGACAAGAGTCTGGACGATCTTTTACATGTAATTCCTGGTATCGGTAAGCCATCACATGCACGTACTCTTTATATCTGTAACCAGACTGTGTCAAACATTTTGTCCGAAGTGGAACTTATTTGGACATTCTGAGTTTCTCAACTTTAGGAGAAAAGTTTGAATAACAGATGAAAAAAAACAACAAAAACTTTAACTCAACAGAATTCCACGTAATGTTTCCAGCGTACAATCCCGCCTTCAGTGTTTGTGGCTTCGGGTGCAGTCTTTTGAGTTTTATGCAGGAAATAAAAATGTCCGTCTTTGCAGAAGATAAAGCATAATAAACATTTCTGTTTCAAGTTGACAGATTTCATTTCATGTCCCAGCAGATTCTAATTTAATGCTTGTGTCGCTTCAGATTTGAAGCCAGCACTGCTCCTGATCACCACTGTAACTAAACTACACAGATAGACACGTATGTGGTCGGTAAACATAAATAATTGCGTACAATTACATAATTAAACATTCCTTGAAAACATTCGGATTAATATTTAATGTATGTGAATACAGTAGCTCTTTATACCAAATCTTCTAACCTTTGCAGCCATTTTGTTTTGCTTTATATTCATCGTGTGCTGTTTCATTATTTTCTTCAGCCCCTAACGCACTGATAGACAGCAGCTCCACTGTTGTGTGTTTTAGGGGACTTTGGAGACCGGTACTTTGGGACAGACGGGACCGACAGCTGGAGCGATGAGGACCAGGAGCAGCCGTCATACTGACACACACATCTGTGAGCCTCTGTGAAAGAAAATACAAACACTACTTGAAAACTCCTGTCATTGTTCATCCTCCTCTTCAGGCATAAACCAGCAAAAAACAAACAACTGTTAGATTCACTTTTTGTGTACTGAAAGAAAAATGACATTTTGTACTCTTATACAACAGATGAGTCTCTGTCAAGTTGTGTGCATGAGGGACATTTTGTTCCATTTACACCCGAGTGTTTGATAGTTTCATACAGATGGGTGAGGTGAAACAGTGCCATTACCTCTGAGGTACTACATTGCAATAACAGTATATGATTTAATCCAAGATTGCACCAGCTGTCCATGAATCCCGTTCTCAGTAGCTACTAAATAATTTCAAACCGACTTATTGAATTGGGTTGCGCCCTTAAAACTTGACTAGAAAGGACTTTAATAATGTGTGAATCAGTTTCTAACAAATATTTGTAACTCCGTCCAATCGCAATCAACAGTCTAAAGTCACTGTAGCATCGCAAGAAGTGATATAACTTCTAACATAACACGTTTACAGCCGTGTTAGTAAAGTTAAATCTTCAGTTCACATAATGAATGTGTCACAACATTAAGCATTATGTGTCAGATCAAAGCTCATTAAATCTTTTACTCCTCATCTCAATGGCTCATATTAGCAAGTTAACGTTAATGTTGTCACCTGGCGGTTAGGGTGTAAACTTAACCCGAGTGTGTTCCTCTCATGTATCAGCCATTGACAGTATATATAGAAGTATTAGCATTACATTCAAGTCACTTCTGAAAAGTACAAACAGAAGGGCGTTAAACAAAACTAAACACATTTCTGAAGATTTTTCCAGATTCTTCAAATCTTAAACGTAAGTTGTTTTCCAAGTAGCCGGGTTATAGTTGCTGTTTAGGTTTACATTTTACAAAAAAAAAACATCAATACTACAAACAACATTAATTTTGGTTCATGTTGTACAAATTGAGCAAGACGATATCTAATTTCTGGGTACCTTATTCTCTTTTTTAGGGTTAGTAAAAAAAGCAACGCAACTTGAGAAACAAGTTTAAAATCTTTTTCATCGTGCAACAAACGGAATATTATTTCATCCAAACTGTTAGAAGACACTTTGAACTTTCTGGAAATACCTTAAGGACAGGAAAATCTGACTCGTAGCTCTGTGACTTGAATGTAATGTTAATACATGAGAGGCACAAACTGGGACTAATTATAACCAGGCTATGTTTGAATTTATGAGCTGGTGCAATCGGCTAAAGAATCTGTTCTGATATGAATCCATTCATACTTTACGCTGCTCTAATAAGACACTTTTTCTATATGTTATGTGATAAACTCACACCGAGAGTAGAGTAGTTGTCAGACGTTTTTATATTAAAAATATCTCACAAAGGGGGGGGTCCTATATCTTGTAGGTTTACACTTTCACTTACACTGTATTTAGTTTACAATAAAGCTTAAATTCAGGGTATAAATTCAGATTTAGTGTTCAGTTCTCACTGCCTCTTTCTACTTCTACTGGAAACTGACGTTGTTTTTGTCACGTGTCTGAACTGATCGACCAGGTGTGGATGCGTGCGAGGTCACAGGCGGTCACATGCTCATTTTTGAGTATTTTCCATGGTCCTGTGACTCTCAGGGTTCAGATCCAGGCCGCCTGGCTCCCCCTGTGATGCACTTTGAGTCCTGACGGGGTCAGTATAGCTCACATTTAGCTTCTCTCAGTGTGATTTATAGTGTGTCCCTTTCAGAAATCAGTGTCTCTTTACAGTACAGAAGAATGCAAACAGACTCACCTGAATCACTTCCATCGCACAAGTTAAATATGTTGAGATTTGATGTCATGAATGGCGGTTTTTGCAGTAATGAAAACATCCTTGTTGGTTCATTATTTTACTGATTTGATCTGGTGCTGAATGTACTGTTAATGCTCAGTTATAAACATGTAAGATAATGATATTAATGTGATTTCAGGGTTATAAAATGAGCAATAAAAAAACCTCGAGCCTCCTAGTTTCCCCCTCCCTGTTGTGTTCAGAGGGTTCACTCCAAACCATGAACACACCTCGTGCTCCTGGTTGGTAATAATATGATTCCCCAGCCAGTTTGTGACCTTATGCTCAGTGTTATCTCTCTCTCTGTCTCTCTCTCTCTGTGTCTTTTCACTATCATGTACCTTCAAGTGACGTCTGGTCGTCTTCATTCATGTATTTATTCAGTCATTCATACTCCTCACAGTGAGATTAACACATCACATAAGCTGTGAATGTTGTATCATCTTCACACCTACATCTCCTACGTTTGTTTTGGACTGTCCCCCCCCCCAAACCCTTCCTCTCCTCTCTCTTGTGCGATAGCTCCTCACCGAGGGGATGACACTGTGATCACGGATGTCATACGACGCACGCTGTATTCTCCAAGACAGCAGAAGACTTGCTCGCCCATGTGACTACTGCCTCAAGGTTAACCTGTTACCATGGAGACAAGCCCGCCAATGAAAATTCAGCAGACGGTTGCGATGTTGACTGCAAGCTTTTTGTTTTAAGGGGTGACCTATTTTTTTTTTTTTTCTCCCCCCCTCTCTCCCTCCCCGCCCATCCACAGCTACTCAGACGCAGACCCTGTTACTCTCACGTGCACACAGACATTCACACAGATAAAAAAAACATGGGAAGGCTACTCACACACACACACACACACACACACACACACACACACACACACACACACACACACAGAGATGCACGTACACACTCCTTGTGAAATGAGGTTGTAAGGTTGCACACAAAAGAAGCAAGCCTTAGATATAAAATATTACATATGTAAATATTACATATTTTTAATTTGACCCTAAGAATATAAGTGCGTTGGTATGTCAAGATTTTTCTTTGCTTTCAATTGGACTGAAGACATGAATCTACAGGCAGCTTTAGAGATCAGAAGAAAAGGTTTGAATTAGAAAAAAAAAAGAGAAAGTCTTTTGATTGGTCTGTAGTAAAAAGGCAAAGTGAACTGTTGGTGATATTCAGGCCTTAGAGAAGGTCGTCATCAGCGTCACTCAGCGAAAAAAGCAGCAAATTCTGCTTTCTTTCAATTTTAATAACTGACACTATGAGATAAAACATCTTTTTTTTAAAGTGCCACTTTATTACAAAAGTATAAACTTGACTGACATTTCATGAATAGTAATCTTGATATAAAACATTACAATCTTTTGCACTTAGCACTTAATTACACGCTTCTGAGTACAAGACCCTGTAGTCTGAATAGCAAACACACAACATTAGCTGCCACATTTAACTTTTAGCTGGGCTTTCCAAGAACACACCGTAGCTTCATGGCTTCAAAAAACAACAAACAGAATACACTGAAATTTACATTGCAGCTGTTTTTGCAGTTTGTGTCACAAGATAAGTCATTCCAAAACACAATTAAACATAATAGAAAAAGATAGATTTCTTGACACTGATGATATATTTATTATTCTTTCTCTTTTGTAATGTACATACACATTGCATCAACATACAGTATAATCACATTGTTTGCTGGGGATATTTTGGTCAAAATGAAATCATCGTTTATTGTCCAGGATTTCGGATGTAATTTCTGAGTTGTGTGTTATCCTCGGGGTGATGCTCTGCTGCTTTTAGCGAAAACCATTTGCTTCACATTTTTGTCATTTCTGCAATATTTTTAACACTGATAACAGAGAGAGAAAGAGAGAGAGAGAGAGAGAGAAAGAGAGAGAGTGTTCATCGATGGAGTGACGATGAGACATGACGTTTGCTAATACACATCAGTTCTACTGTAGCTTTCCAAGCTGCACTATGGTGAAACCCAAGACGTTTCATATGACCACAAGGCAGGGACTATGTAGATGAACGGTCCACAGATATGAGTGAGGACTGAGCAGAGAGGGGTGTGTGTGTGTGTGTGTGTGTGTGTGTGTGTGTGTGTGTGTGGGAGGGGAGGGGAGGGGGGGTTTGAGTGGACTGTCTCCACCTTTAGGACTCGAGCAGTTCTCTTTAGTCTCGTTTTCATCTGTACTGTGTGTGTGTGGCAGGCAAAGGATGAGAGAAAAATTAACTCTCCTCTCTGCTGCACAGAGTCCCACTGAGCCAAACACATCCTTAATCTAACTGGCTTTGTGCTCTACAGAGAAATAAAGCAACACACTAAAAAAAACAAAGAAAACAAAAAAAAACAACCAACGACAATAGAAAAAAAAACATTCATATAGAGGTACCACATGACAGTGCTTGATTTTTTGTTGGGTTTTTTTTCACTTTTTTTTAGCATGCAACTTGTAGCAGGCAAAGTGCAGAAACAGGATCAACAAAGTAAAACACTTCATTTACAGACGGCAGTGGAGACAGTGTTCAGTCCATGTAAGATGAAACAAAACATGACGGAGGGAAGTATCCGGTCGGTTTTTAAACACGATGAATGGTTTAAATTAGTCGAAGCTTTTAGGAGGAATGCAAAATGTGTGCAATCTTTTGTTATAATACTCTCATAATTGATTCTCTTGGTCCCTGAGCTTTCAAGTATTTTGATTAGTAATTCATTCCTTTATATCTTTTAAATCCCGTCCTGAATCATATCTTGACCAACTACAGGGAAGGCCTGTTCATGACAGACTAAGTGCTACCGAAAGATTCACACAATGCTGTGCCTTTTCCCTAAATAGAAGTCCTGCTAGGACCAGTCAAACAACTATTTTTACCCGCTAGAATTGAGGAAGAATTTAGGCTTTTACTTTTATTGTGCTTGGCACATATGTATCAGTAAAATAGAAGTGCTACTGTTACCTACAGATTGCTCTGCAATGGTCTTGTGCTCATTTATTATTCACTACCTTTGGATTCCTTATAAGGTTTGTAGATTGGACTTTGTATTCAGCCCAGGTCATAACAGATCAACAGTATTGCCCCAAGGCCTCCGTAGGCCGTGAAAGGCATGATGTTATGACTTGAATGTAAACAGTATGTGTGGGTGAGCATGACAGGGGCTCAGCCGTCACTCCTTGTGGTGTAAGCTCAGCTCCTTGTGTTGGAAGGATAGGGGTCACAGTGCAGCCGCCGCCTCAAAGCCCTGTTACATACATCTCCATGCCGTCGTTGAAAGTGAAGATGGTGGTGGTGCTGGAGGTGGCGGAGCCCTGCTTCAGGTCGCCGATGCTCTCGTACAGGTTCTCCCCCGGCAGCAGCAGGGCTTTGGCGGGCAGGTGCTGTAACTTGGGGGTCTGCTGCGTCGGCGGCGGTGGAGGGGGCTGCTGCTGCTGCAAGGGCTGCTGGGCTTTCTTCCTCCTTGGCCGCAGGGTGGCACACGTGTTGGGGGGCCTCTCTCGCTTCCAGGCGCCTCCACCTTCCAGGTTCTCATAGGCCGGATCGCACTCCTCTGTCCCGATGGACTCGTAGCAGTGGTCGTCAAGGGGCCCTCCAACTGCTTTGCCCTCCTGAAGCGCCCACGTCTGGGGTTTGACCACTACGCTAAAACCCCCGTCCCGGTCCCGGTCCCGGTCTCCACGACCCAAGGTCCGGAAGCCAGGATTGGCTGGGGGAGACCCCGGCACAGCTCTCTTCTTCTTTCCAGGTTTACACACCTTCGAGTACATCTCAGCCACCTGCAGTCAAACAAGAAATTACTGAGGTTATAGATCTAGTGTATCGTATATCTATATAAATAATAATAATAATTTGTAATAGTTTAACATTGTGAAACGCTCATTCACTTTATTTTATGTATGTACGTTAAATATGAAGCTGGAGTCAGCTCCTGTTAGCCTAGCTCAGCATAAAGACTGGAAACGGGAAACAGCTAGCTCTGTCCAAAGGTAAAAATCTGCCAACAGCAAAGCATATTTTCCAAAATATTGAATTATTTCTCTACCATTTACTTTAAATCTGAATAATGAAATAAAGTCAATCTTTTCTATTGTGCAGCAGCAACATTTTCTTCCATTCAGATGGTTATAAGAGCCTTCAAGAATGCTTGAAATACCTTCAGGATAGTTGTACTTTTCTTTAAACGACCTTCTGGGTTTTTAAAAGAGGTTTTTCATATCGGAGGTTTTTCCTAAAAATGTGTGCTTAGCACTGTGACTCATGCATTGATAGTAGTGTACACGAGAGGCACAACCTGGTTAAATCAAGAGTGATATAACGTCAGTGAAACAGATACAGAACATGGATACTGTAAAGCAATGTGTAAAAAGGTTTTGTCTAATATTAAAGCTATCTAACTGTAGATTTAAAGGTCCAGTGTTTAGGATTTAGTGCGGCTCTATCTATTGGTTTGTCTGTTCTGGGTTACTGTTGGAGGTTCAACATGGCGGACTTCATTTAAGGCGTCTGTAGATAAAAACGTCTCATTCTGAGGTCACAAAAATTCTAATTTCCAGGTGATTATACACAAATAAAAACATACATAAATATTATATTTAATTTCTGCCAATAGATCCTCCTAAATGTTACACACTGGGCCTTTTAAGCTGTGAGCTTCAACACATTAATTTAGCAAATAAACCAAACGACGGACAGGCTGATGCACAGACTGAAGAGTCCCCGCTCACCACAGCAGCAGACGGTTGTATATTCTCCACTGTGTGAGCACCCAGCGGTCCCAGGGCTTTATTTTGGTGCATGAGCATCTCCTCATCCTCTGGAGGCTTCCAGATGTACTGCTCTCCATTACCCATAAACATCACTTCCTGTCAACAGAACAAGGAATTACATTTGGGGCAGAGCTGATCACGTGTTCATGCATGTCTATTAGTATTTGTGAATATAAATAAAATGCGACGCAGTGGGGTTCATAAAGGATGTAATTAACCACTTTAAACATGCAGAAGTATTGTAGCACAGAGCTGGTGTTAGTAATGTAGTGGATGGATTTCATAAAGTATTGAAAATATTTTCCCTGGAAGGTGGGGCTTGAAACATGAGGAACCATGTGCTTATATTCTGGATGACTCAATTTCAACATGTTGCGTCATCCACAAGAAAGCCAGTGGTGAGCAGCCCTGCGAGCAGACTGTGTACACATGTAAGCCTGTGAACTGTGCGTGTTACTGAACTCAGGTCACAGCAGAGAGTGTGACCTTGCTGACCTCACACAGGGCAGCAAATGGTCTCCAACTGTCACCTGGAGGGGAGCACAAAGCCTTATATGCACGGTAAAAGCAGACAGTCTTCCTCCACTCCTGCTGCTGCGAACATATGGAGGAGGTGACACTGCTGAGAGCAGAAATATCACCAAGAACTCTTCGATAAATAAACACAGCTCACTGCCCGGACTTCAATGAAATGCCTAAAGAAGTGTGAACATATCACAACAGCACACACGATGTAACCGAGTGCGGAGAAAACTGCAACACTGGCACAATTACAAACCGCGTGGATCCTCCGCAGCATCAACGGGAAATCTGACACAAATACTCTGCTCGCTGTACCTGGACTACAACCTGCATATTAATCTGTCATACGGACGCTGACAATAAACTACAGGATGAAACATTTATCACAAACACATCTGAAGGTCGATACAACCGGCAGCAACAATCTGACCACGACAATCAAACTTTTCAGGGCAAACTAAAATGAATGTGATTGTTTAAATACTTGCCTATGAACTTCTCATGTTACTGGAGGACTCCACTAGAGGGCGCACCAGAGAACTCAGACGATATAGATTTGCATGATGTAAACGATAAACAATAAACGTCTGATGAATGGTGGACGAAACACACCTACTGACCCCTACACTGCCCCTACCATTTAGCGTGTTAGCGTTGTAACATTTGCTATAGCACCAACCAAAGTACAGGAGGAGATGGATGTCTGTAATAAATTTCCTTACAGTCGATGGTTGCTAAGACATTTTTATTAAAAGTCACAAATGTCAACCTCATGGTGGCGCTAGAGGAACTGTCAGGGGATCATTAGGATTCATCTTCTGGGGAACACGAATATCTGTTCAACTCAGTCTTAATCTGCTTTGTGCCATTATTGTTTTTCTGCCTCGTATGTGAGAAAAGTCTTTCCATTAATAACCAGTTTATGTGTTATTCCTGTGGGAATTTGGTCCCATTTAAATTCGTATTACACGTTTTTCTGCCCTTAATATAATCTCTTCTAATCTCAAAACCTAATCCAATCTTTACGAACCCAATCTCTGCTTATTAGCTTTCTAATGCAGCCTCATGATCTTCATAAGCATATTGTGTTTGCCCAGTTGTCAATGGAGATGAGATGCAGCTGAAAGCACTGGAAAGAAGCTGTTAGTAAGTGCACATTTTCTTTGTGTAACTACTGTAAATATCCAATGTGTGAAACCTACCAACATACCAACCTTTGGGAATGAAGGGACATTGAAGGCATCCATGTTTCTACGGGGCAACTTTGTGCTGTGAGGGTGTGGTGGAGGAGGGGCGGGATGTGTCGGCGGGGCGTGTCGTGGAGGCGGTGCCGGCGGCTCCCCCATATCTGTCCCGCTGTCTCTCTTTTGGGGCGCCTTGTCGGCCTTTCTCAGCTTCCTGACGCAAGCGTACTCGGCCGTCTCCGGTGGATGAGGGGGAGACATGACCTGGGCCTCGGGTTCGGGCAGCCCTCCTTCCACGTCCCCGTCTGGGTCTGGGGGCGCCGGGGTGTTGGCAGGGACGGCCGGAGGGGCCGGAGTGTCCGTCTGCCCGGCCCTGCCTACCATGGCGTAGAGGGCATCATCAGTACGTGTGGTGGAAGAACTTCTGCCAACTTCTGAGTAAGTGTGCTCTCCGTCCTCTCCAGTCCCAGAAGGGATCTGGGGAAGCTGCCTGCCTTGAGAACGGAGGTCAGAGTTAGACCGGCAGCTGAGCAGCAGCAGAGGGTCCACGCTTGCTGGACGGCTCTTTTTAGACACCTCTGCAAGGCACATACAGGCCATATACAGGACGCCCTACCATAAAACAGGATTCACATACTCCTCCTGTACCGGACACTTCAACAAACATTTGTGAACATGAATAAATCTCTCTTGCTGACAGTAAACTGGGAGCTGACGTAGATGTTTGAGAAAATGCGTCCAAATTGACTTCATTCCACTGCGGTGGAAGCGGGACAAATATGAAGCAGGACATATGCTTATATTTTCTTCAAACCCTCTCAGGCTACTGTCACAGTGCCCACAAACACAGTTCCCTGTTGACTGTCAGTGATGGAGCTCCAGGACTTATCTTGGCTCTCTGATTTCTGTCTTTGCGAGAGAGAGAGAGAGAGAGAAGGATGCATGTTCATAAATCAAGATTGAACAGTCCGGTGGAATAAGGCTGAGCCGTAAATGTTATGTGAATTCTGTTTTAGGGTAAATTCGTCTTCTAAAGGGTCCTTTAATTTTTATTACAAATAGGTTTTTGCATGAATTTAGGGCCTGGATCAGTTACTGAGCATTTACTTAAATGTTTATTTGCATTGTTTGGGGTTGGTAATGTTGTTTTCGCGGCATCCAAGCCTGACATCAATGATAACGCCAAATCAGCACACGCTACAGTTAAATTTATTTGTGGATAATTGTTCCATTTATGTACATATTTGTCATGCTATTCATTAAATTGATTTTCCATTTCTGCCATTTCACAGACTACATTGTTTCTGTTCTGTTAAAACCCTGTTACTTCCACATGTTTGTGACTTTCATGCTTTCAAATAAGCTGAAGGATTAAATGCTTCAACTCAAAGACAATTCTCCAAAAAATCCCCCTCTCCATGTTTTCCAAAAGTGCTTTGTCATGCAGCTAAAAACAAGACCAGGTTCCCATTTCGGAGCTGCAAGGTTTTCACCAGGCAGCAGTGAGTTCAGAGCACACAGGGTCAGGATTTGTATGTGAAAGATGCACTCACTTTTCCCATTGCAGTTCATCTTGTTCATCTCAGTGTCTGATTTACTGATGGACCGCAGCTTCGACTGCCTGAGTATACCCTGACAACACACACACACAAGGCCAGTTAAACACTAATTAAGACTGAAGAGGTGTCCTCTGAATGATATTGTTCCTTTGTGAATTGACTTGCTTCAGCCACCTCGGCTGCAACACAAACAAAACATAGAGGAGCGTGTTGCCTGATACCTACCATGTCCATGAGACGGTGTTTTCCGCCCTCGCCGGGAACATTGTGTGTCTTCCCCTTCCTGTGGTAAACACAATCGCTCTGTCACACAGGTTGACACTTACTACACTGATGCACTTCTGTGTGTTTGTGCTTGTGCAGAGTTTGAGTCACTGTCCGTGTGTATGTGTGTGTGTCTGAGTCATCTTGTGACTGTGTGCACGTGTGTGTGTGTGTATGTGTGTGAAAGAGTGTATTTGCATATGTGCTTCCAGTGGTGGAGAGTACGCTTACTCAAGTACTTTACTAAAATATTGTACTTTTGACTTCAATATAATAATAATTATTATAACACAATATTTTTTTACAGCTATAATTACTAGTTACTTTTCCGATTACCTTAAGTTTATAAAATACAATTAAAGGTGGAGTCTGATAGCTGATGGTTGAGTCTCATTCCCATGTCGTCGAATACCAATGATTGGTAAACGTGGGAGCACGACTGCCATCTGTTGTGTTTCGCTCGAAGCCGCTTTGTTTGTTTCTCATTCACCATAAACCCAAAGCGTCTGTATTTGACAACCTGGGAGTCAACAATCAACTATCTTTCTCCAGAATCACTGACTCCACCTTTAATTGTTAAAGGTTTACCCCCATTGATCTCTCATAAAGAAATATTTGTACAGTTGGGGCTCCTTGTCACGTTTCAGATCAATTGAGAACTAACTAACCTATAAAAAAAGAAAAGTAAAAAAAAATAAATACAAATTTGTGAAGCTGACCCTTGTTTTCCTCTCCCATCAATTATCTCACAACCCCTCAGATTTATCTTGTGTCCCTTTAACCTGACCTCTAGGTATCTATAATGATATATTATTTTACTGCAGTGGTTCCCAACCTCTGGGTCGGGACCCCAAATAGCGGCCGCCAGGGCTTCACTGGGGGTCGCAAGGCCTTTTTTATTTAAGGGGGCGTAAGAAAACAAAATAAATACAGAGTAGGCCTATAAGTCAGCGTTTTGTTCATTTCTATGAAGAAAACTAAATCAAATTGTTATTTTTAAAGTTTATTTTAAAGATTATTATTTAAGATCTAAACTCAGAAGAACTGAACACAACCTACAATCATATATTCAGCCTTCACTGGAAAAGTTAAAACACCCAAAGAACTAATTGAACAATGGCCAAGCTTCAGGGAGAAGAAAACACTGAATTTGCTTATTAAGTATGTATGATTGTTAAAAATGATTAAAAACACATAGAATTGTATAAAAAGTTCCTATAAAAAACTCTCTGACCAATATTCCCAGGAAATAATCTGCTCAAAAATCCTCCAAATTGCTAATTTTACACAATCTTCCTCCTTTATTGTGTTCAGTGTTTGGGTTCATTGTACAGTTTATCAGTTGTTCTGTCCTGTTATTGTTATACACTGAATATAATATGAAATATACATAAAAAATGTCGCTTAGTCAGTTTACTCAATGATAGAAAAGGGGTCCCTTAAGAAAAAAGGATGTGAACCACTGTTTTAGTAAATTTTGCTGATAATACTTCAGTACTTAACACTACTTAAGTAAAGTAAAGTACTCCTTCCACTACTGGTGCATGCATGTATAAATATTCTAAACGTCCTGTAAATGGAAATGAGCATGTGTCTCAGTGTGTGTGCGTGTGTACGTGCATGCTCTCACCTCTGGCAGCCCACGCAGAGCACCACTATGAGGATCGTGACAACAAAGGCTGAGGCAGCAGCGATAGCACCCAGCAGCAGGACCTTGCCGTAGGGAGGAGCCGTGAAGTTCAGCCCGTCCTGCATGGAGGCCATGTGGGAGCGCTGGCGCTCACTTGCTCTCACACACTCACACTCACACCCTTACAACTCATGCACGCAGAGAAGTGCCACGGTCTCACTGGGATCTGCAGGCACAGAGTGGTGCTTAATTACAAAATTATCTAACCTTTACAAAACATTAAGTAGGTTAACAAAGCAGCGGAACCAGAAGTAAAATATTCATGGTGCAAAAAGCAGAAGGGAAGAAGCAATTTGAAAAGAGGAAAAAGTGAGAATTCACGTCCAGTCCTGAAGCAGTGAAGTGAACAGACATTACGCCTCCGGCATGTGCTTCTGCTTTTCCTTGTTTGAGGGATTACTGAGATTTGTGTGTCACACTTACATAGACATCAACATAAATGCTCACTAACAAAGATGTTCAGGTGTGTGTCTACAGTGCGCAAGTACTTAAAGTAATCCAACAGTTACACATTTACAACCTGCTTCACAGCTAAAAGATAAAACAGTATATCTGACGTATTACCGAGTGCAGTTTCCAAGAGAATCCGCTGCTGATCTGTTTGTCAGGTAGCTTCTAACATGGGTAAAAACTAAATTTCCTGTGGTTTAAACCATTCAAACAAGAACAAACATACATATTGAGAAGGCACAATGAGTCACAGAGAAGCTGAACATGCCAGCAGGCAGAGTAACCTGAAACACTGAAGGAGACAAGCACAAAAGCAGAGCGAGCAGACAGAAACATCTTTCTTTTGCTTCTTCTCTGCTCCTTACTGCTTGCCAGACAATCTCACATTTGGCAGAGAGTAATATGTTTCAAATAAACAATAAAAAGCACAAAGCTTTAACAAAAAGAACAAACAACAAGCCTGTTCTAATCTCTGTCAAATCGTGCCATCTGTCTACTGTGACAGTGTGTCTTCATGTGTGTCTATGTGTGCGTTGCTCGTCTATCAGCGACACACAAACCGAAAGGCAGACAGCTCGAAACATACCGCCTGGTTTTGTCCAAAGTCTTGTTGAACTGAAGTTTTCGGGACGATAATACTCAACTGTCTGATCCAAATGTCTCTCGTGTATTTATTCAGTTTACAGCTACAGATTTAGACCAAACTCTTCCTCACTCCTCGTCTTTGCTAACGATTAAATCTGACACTTGAACAACATGCTTTAGTATTGGATTCCATGTGGATCCTTTTCTTCCAGACAGAATTTAATCTTCCCAGTCCAAATTACTTTAACAATTTGCCTGTAGTCTGGTGAACAGTGAGTATTTGTCTCTGACAGTTTGCCAAAGCTGTGGACACCTCAAGAAGGAGAAACCAACACATTTGTGGACGTTTCTGAAGCTCAAATAATTCAGTTTTAGTATTAACAGCAGAGATCTTTGACGTCAGAGAGGCATAATACGTATTCAAGCAGTCCAAGCATGAATGTCTGGTATGCTCTTCTTCATTCTTGCCTCTTGTTTTGTCCTTCTATACCTTGAGGACAGACATGTCTGTTGGTTTAAGCCGCAACCATTCCCACCTGGATGGATTTTGTTGAATTTTGTCATGGAAAACTCTACTACCTTTGCTATCTACTCCATTTTCTGTCGCCCCAGTGGGCTCGTGTTATAATAAAATATTCTCCAGAGGCTCAAAGTGATGGATTATTAAAAAAGATGCAACTGTCTATTTCAGAAGTGTTTTGTACACCAGCTTTTACAGCAGTGGTCTAATGGTGCTTGAAGAGTAGCCCCCAATTTTTTTAAGCGGCCAGTCCAGCAAAGGATAAACACCCTACTATAGCATATTTAGTTTACCCAAAAATGGGCCAGTAGTTTTTGCACATTGTCACTTAACTTCTGCTGCTTGACTTGAGGGAGAAAGGATCATAATGAAATTAACATTAGCCACAAAAGAGGAGCCGATTTCACAATAAATACTTGTTTATAGACGGGTGAGACAGTATTCAGAAGTGCTATACCCAACGCCCAATTATAAAATAATAATAGTATAATAGTAAAAAGAAAAACCCTTCTGTCTGTCTTGCCAACATATTCTCCAAATCTGGCTGTATATGATTCTCCTGCACCATTGATCCCATCTTCTTCAAATATGGCACGCTTTAGCTCAAGAGTCCCGTGAGTTAAAGGGACAGTAAAAACAGTGAGGTGTCTCCATATAAGTGCTCAGGACTGTTAGGTAGTCTCTCTGATCTGACTTTTAGGTAAAGTGGTTGTTACCAGTGATTGTACTGTTTCGACCACAGACAAGAAGAGAAAAAAAGCAGCTTCACAGTAAAAGTCTTACAGTTCGGCGCTGGTGCAATATGTTTACTGTGAAGTAGCTTCATGAAATCTTTTTGTTATTGTTAACAGAAGTATTGTTAACCCTGAAGCTCCATCTGCACACGCAAAGAACGAAAGATCAGCAAACGAGTACGGCGTGACTCCCATGGTGAATCTTTTAAAAGGTTCCCTTCAACCCTCTGTAACTGATATTATAGTCCAACTGTAAACACATTAACATTTTATTAAAAATATATTGTTGTTAAAAAAGGTCATTGGGGAAACTTCTGAAAGGATCCTTCATCTTGGCAGCTGGAGGGGCGTGTTAGTGTCAGTGTTTGTTTTCAGCGGCTGGCAGGCTGAGCTCCAGCAGGGGAATGAGACCCAAAGTAAACAAATGCTGCATTCACGTGGATTCAGGTAAAGCGTACACGGCAAACCGGATATCATGTTAGTGGATGAAAACAGGACGGTAGCAGAGAATACGGGTGGAATATATGTATACATGTGGGTGGAAGTGAGGTGGGCTGAATGAAGCCTGGTTACTATAAAACAACCACCTGTGAAAGCACCACCCACCTGTCACTCAAAGCGACTAATTGTGCATAACTTTAAACCTTGACATAATTTAAAGGGGTGAGTTACATGTACAGTTGTCAGGAACGGGGAAAATTAGCCACAGAGACCAAAACCATTTTCCATATTTTAATATGGGGCCTTATGGAGACTGACTCACTTCTGTAAGCAGCCTCAAGTGGCTGTTTGAGGAACTTTTTACTTCCGTGTTTGTTTAATTTTCCAGCCACGGAGGATGCTGCTTCTTCAAGACAACGCGTTCCTGTTAGAAGTTAGATAAGTAGGATAATGTGTGTTGTTGTTCAGACTCTCTTGTTGTGTGTAGCAGGCTGCAGTCTCTTCTGTCTGTGATATAATGCTGATGTTACTGCTTTATGCTAAATTTAATTGGGCTACATCAAAATAAGGTCTTCATCTACGTGGACTGATACTCCAACGCAGTTCGGTGGAGGGTGTGGTCTGTTGTAGCCATAATATCACTGGTCAGCACTGTAAAATCACAGCTGTCAGGATCCAATGACTGATCTTTCCCCTGGTCTTTAAGTTTCATCTTTATGGTGAATGTATTCAGACTATTTTGTTTTCTGACTTCACTATTATCTGTACAGTATCTGCTTTTCTATTAAAACAGACAGTAGAGACAGGACAGGAGTTTGTCAGCCTCTGCATGGTAAGTTTTGGTGACTTTTTGGTCATTTGCATTTCTTTTAGTAGATCCAGCTTTGAACCCAACTGTTCTCAGCATGAAATCCAATTTGCACCAGATTTCACACACGGACGTCTCGGTAGTTCTTTGCACGCTGCTTATTCAGGTGCAATCTGACCACAGAACAACTGTGTTTCCTAATTCAGATTAACCTGATATTAATTACTATTAATTGGATCTATCCCATTTTACAACAGTGGGTAACCAACATAATTACATAGTTCTTTGAGCTTGTCTAAAGAAATTGACTAAAACAGTGAACATGTTTTTCCAGCATGTCTATCAAAAGCGTTTAGTGTATTTTTAAAGACTGTGACCTGCTTTTAATTCCTCCACCAGCACCTCAACTTTAACAGAACACTTCCTGAGTGAGCAGTCTGAAATATTATGTTCGATTTAAAGAACCATATGCACCTAGGAGGGAATGATCATTTAAATTACAGCTGCAACAGTGTCAGTGTAATTATATCTGTGCTGATTTGACAACGGAGCCGAGGAGTGGAGATGCAGAGGGTAATGAGAGAGAAGAAAGGGGAAAGGTGTAGGTGTGGAGGAAAAGAAAGGAGAGAGAGAGGAGGGGAGGAAGACATGCGTGGGAGTCCTGTGGCAGGTGTTTGAAGACGCTGAAAGCAGATGATGAGAAGAGATGCTGTCACATTTCCCAACAAGGTTTCCCGGCCTTCCTCCCGTTCCCTGTCTCAATGAGTGTGTCCACACCTCCCCACCCATTCTTCTCTCCCTCTATCCCCCTGCCTCCGCCTGCGGTGTTCAGCCACAGTGACGCCTCAGCACTGCAGTGTAATCTCTGGCCCTAGAGCTGCCTCGTCAGAGCCAACCAATTGGACGTTGCGCTCAGAGCAAGAGCAAGAAATGGCCCTCCCCCGGCTGCTTTCCTGCTAAACAAAGCCCCCTCTCCCTAAGCCACAGAGAGTCCCCCCCCCCCCATCCCACCCCATCCTGCCTGTGGTGCTCAGTTTGCTCGTTACAAACTACCAGTGAATACCTGCAGGTGCAGATTTGCCAGGTGTTGCCCTGACCGTGTATCACAGACCAAAAGGCTACTTACACTGACAAGGGCCCATATGTGGCGCGGAAACTGGAGCATCATCGATCATCATTTCTTTACCGAAACACGTTCATTGTGTGTGTCAATTAAAACAAAGTGACATAAAAAATAAAAAAAAAACATAAAAGTTAATTCTGTACCTTCCGGGAACAGTGTGTGCAACAAAATGTCAGCAAATGAAGATGTGTTTGAAAGCCATAAAAGGAAGTAAGTGGACCTTTGAGCTTAGATTACTGCATATATGAAATTCCTTGTATGTTTTTTAGGGCATGATATGGTAAAAAAACAAACAATATTGTGATTATTTTGATAGACATTGTGATTGTGATATGATTCATGAGTAGTGGGAATGATAATTTTTGTATTTTCACTATAAAAAACTATTCAAATCATCATAATGTGAAATGTGTTGAGGTCTGTACCAAAGAGACATGTTTTATTACATCTGTAGAGGTTTGTAGGTCAGGGCATCACTGCAGCACTACAGTACTTCATTATAATGCTGGGCTGTCACACATTTTACCTTTTGTTGGTTCTCTGAATATTATACTTATTGTGCAGCCGTAGAGCTTCTTCAGTCAGCGAACCGACAGGAAACTTGGACTGCTAACGATTGTTTTCATTATTAATTCATCTGTTGATTATTTTTAGATTAATCGGTTGGTCTATAAAGCACCAGAGAGGAATGACAAATGTCCGTCACAATTTCCTAAACACAAAGCAGATTTCGTCAAATTGGCTGTTTTGTTGGACTCCTAAACATAAATATTACATTTATTATCATTAATTATCACATAAGACAAAGAAAAGCAGAAAACAGTCACATATTACAAGATGGAACCGAGAAACATTTTTACATTTAAAATAATTCAAACGTGTAATCGAATATCTGATTGTCTGTCGGCTGATGAATTGATTAATCAATGAATCGTTGTAGCTCTGCAGGAGTCACTACAGGTGAATGAATGAATGAATGGATCAATGTTTGGGTCACAACAGTCACAATATGGAGCTTCAAGGATCAGTTGATTAACTTGTTAGAAAATGAATCAGCAAATATTCTGATCATCTATTAATTTTTAGAGTAATTTTTCAAGCTAAATTGCTAAAAAATCTGAGAGGCCTCAACTAACAGTTACTTTAATTATCGATTAATCTGTTATTTTCACAATTAATCGATGTAATGTAACGCTTGTTGTAAGTTTCCAGATCTGAATGTGACTGCTTTTTGTTCCTCGATTTTTCCAATCACCAATCAGAATCCCAAAGATTGGAGAGCTGGAGTCAAGAATGGACATTTTTTGGTTTAAAAAAGGCCTCAAATGATTAATCAGTTATGAAAATTGTTGCTGATTTCCTTTAATCGACTAATCGTTTCAGCTCAAATGTGAGAATTTGCTGCATTTCATCGCCTTACGTTGTAATAAATTGACTCGTCAGACAACACAAGACATTTGAAGACATCACATTGGGTTTTCTGGAGTTTTATAGATCAAAAGATGAATCGATAAATGGAGAAAATAATCAATAGTTGCAGTTGTAGGCGAATGAATGGATGACAGAAACATGTCAACCTGTTGACTGTTGACAATTAAATGTCTTTAGAGGAAAGTGTGAAAAATGCTGGGTGACATATTTGGCTACAATCACATCATCAGATTATATTTTAGGCAAAATTTAACAAACAAAAATGTTTTTTTTATCAGAAAACAAAAGCTTTAACTCCTTCAAACAATAAAAAAATAATTATGGTTTATGCTTACAGCAACTGTCGAGGCCATGAAGTCAAACAAGGAATTATGGTGTAATCCTCATAAAAATGCACTTCAGGAATACATTTAGCCCTACAGTGCTGCAGTAAACACCAGTAGGCTTTTCATTTTCTAGGAACATGCACTGCATTTACATGTGTGTTCATTATTAATAACACTGGAACTCCTTTCAATAAGCCCGGCCAGCCGGCAGTGGCCTCTCTGCCGAATCTGCTCAGGTTTTGATAAACCACCTGGGAGTTCATGTGGAGCGAAAACCTCACCCTCTGTGTGACACAAATAACAGCAATGTGTGTGTGTGTGTGTGTGTGTGTGTGTGTGTGTGAGAGAGAGAGAGAGAGAGATGGGGGGGGGGGAGAGAGAGAGAGAGAGGAGGCTGCTATTGTGTGAGAATGTGAATTAGGTCAAATGTTTGCTTGCAACAACGATTAACCATGCCCCTGTGAGGAAGAAAGCTGAGGCTCTCTGTCTTTATCTGTGCAAACGCTGCCTCTGATACAAACACCGCCTGACATTATTCATTCATAGCAAATTAAAGAATAATTATAATGTCTTGTGATCACATTATTCACATCCCCCCCCTTTTTTTCCCAGCAGCTTTTGGCAGAGTGAGGGACCTTGAAAAACAGGCTGAACAACAACAGCTGAAAGTTAAACAGGGAATCATCCTCCCCATCATCACCATCATGTTTTTTTCTGTAGCTCTGTTTTGTATAATAAAGAAATCCTCCATGAAGGGGCTTATATATGTGTATATGTGTGTGTGTGTGTGTGTGTGTGTGTGTGTGTGTGTGTGTGTGTGTGTGTGTGTGTGTGTGTGTGTGTGTGCGCGCGCGTCAGGGGAGGTTGTATGTACGTGGCTCATGATGGCACCCACTCAGCAGGCATCAATCACAGGCTGGGTTGCCCGGCTCACCGCGCCTCTGGGCTCCGACACCCCTCAAACTGCAGTGCTGCTGACAACAGGTTACACACCACGACTCAAATGAGACTGAGACAGGAAAAACACGCAGGGTGTGAACTCGGATTTGTGGGTATAATTAAAAAAAAAAAATGTGCCCGTGCAGGTGGGGGCTATAGGCGGTCACAGAAAATGAGGAATTTCAGGCTGATGCAGTGTGCTTTTATCACAGGGGGTTTGTTTCAATAAGCCTGTAGCGCCAGATATTTTTTTTTTTCCTCCTTTTCCTCTCTAATCATCAAAGCGTTTCCGATTCATTTCCAGATCAAAGTGAGGATGGTAAAGGATGTTGTGTCCCCGAGGTCAGCTGGCAACTTACACGACAAAGCCAGTTCCCCACACCCCCTATTTATGAGTAAGAGAAGGGAGGGAGGAAGGGAAGGGAAGGGGAGGGAAGGGAAGGGGAGGTGGGGGTGCAAATGTTAACGGAAGGTCTAACGTTAATTATCTTTATGCTTCACAGTCGGCAGGGGATGTTGCGCGGAAAAAACGCGTGATTGGAGGCTCCCTGCGCCTTCCTCTCACCAAATCACAATGAAGTTCTCTGATCAATCCGTTCATTCTTGGGGGGCTTAAATCACAAAAGGCAATGCAGTAACCACTGAAGGTGGGCGCACACGTGTCTGTGTGTGTTAAACGTATGACCGGTGCAACGTGAAGAAAACGGGGCAGAGGCGCACACAAAGAGAAAAAAACAAGAGCTTACAACAGGGGCTGCAATCTCCTGGATGAATAAAGGATGCTGGGTACCAACTGCGTGTGCAGCTTATCGAGCTGAATCTATAGGCACATATGAATGACCCCCCCCTCCTCTCCACCACCACCATCCATCCATCCATCCCCTCCTCCCTCCCTCCCTTACCTCCCTCCAGCCTGTCACATAGCCACAGGCACAGAGCATTGCGCTATAGCATCCCTGTACTCACTCAGCTCAGAGATTTTGGGAGGCGCAGCGTCAACCCCTGGTCGCTTCCTTCTTGCTTCCGCTCGGACCAGGCGCTCTCCGCGAGCATAATCAATCACAGGCGATAGTTTGGCTTTCTTGGGCTTCAGAAAACACGAATGCAGCATATTGCATGTGACATCCTCTGAAGGCTGCCCGCTGACCCGCTTGTGCGCCCTGTCCGCGCTCCTCTTGCTCCCCAGCCAGAAGGGAGGCTGGGAAGGTGTCTGACCTGAACTATCTGCTGCTGCTGCCGCCCGCCGCCGCCGCTGTATCTCCAGTATTATCTCCAAGTGCCAGGTTTCTCCTCCACAGTCCCTCAAGCCCCCTCCATCTGTACTCGCGTCCCCTCGGCTCAGCTACTGTGCTTCCATGTGACACAGGCAGAGCTGGAGACCCCCCAATTTTGTATGTGTGTGTGTGTGTGTGTGTGTGTGTGTGTGTGTGTTTTGATTCTGGCGCCATCCCTCGGAGGGACGGGGAAGTGCGGGTGATGAATGGGCTGAAAGAAAGGGAGAGAGAGAGGATTTCTCAGTCCTTGCGTAAAGGTGCATGGGGCTCTGGGTAATTTCAGAGGCAGATTAAGAGACATTTGGAGTCTGTATACTGCAATCTGGATGCTCAGTGGTCCAAATTAAAGCCAGCTCCTTCTTCTTTCTGCACAAGGAATATAAGGTGAACATAACCTGTTGAAATCATCAGGCTTTTTAAATGATTTTCTGTAACATACAGTTAATGTATGACCAGGAGGATGATATACTGACACTGACTTTATTTAGATAGATAGAAAGCTACAACAGGTCAAACTGCTGTTGTGTTGGATCTCTTGAAAACTGCATTGGATCAATAAGCTTCACAACAAGATCATAACCCCTATAAGCGGCCCGTAATAACCCAGTGTAACCTCTTATTTCCACTATAATGAAAGCTGCAGGTGCATTGAGAACCACTGATCTTATAATTGGTTGTCTAATTTATCTACAACCTCGTTTAAATGTGTTTGAAAACATAAAAAGTGGGCCAGTAATGCCTTGTTCTTTTAGCTTGTTTTAACCTTGCTACTCACACACCTTTGAAGCCTGCACCTCCACCGCTCTACCACCACCTACTGGCGACTTCTGAGCATTGCACAAGAGCAACCACCTATCAGGGTGCAGAAGATGGTGTTGCTGTATGAGGGTCAATCCATGCCACAGAGAGGGAGAAATATATGAGAGAAGTCTGTCCAACATAGTGCAGTGACAGTCGTTCCAGAGGAGGGGTCTGAAATACGAATGGCCACCCTGTTATCTTTACCTCTTCCACTCCACACTGTCTCTCAGAGGCTGTAGCAGGCTCTGTTTTAAAGGTCAATATCATATGAAACTAGATGACTGAATGCATCCATTGGTGCCAACAATGTAGTGCTGGAATGTCGGGAAGGAGGCTAAATATTGCTCCAAAGTTAGGCTAAATTTTGGCAATGTTGAAACTGGCATGGCTATTTTCGAAGGGATCCCTTGACCTCTGACCTCAAGATATCTGAATGAAAATGGGTTCTGTGTACCCACAAGTCTCCCCATCATGAAGTTTTTTGCATGTGGTGTAAATATGTTATTTTGGCCTAGTGTATATGAATATTTCTGCATACTGGGCCCCATAAACAGTGTTGGAAAGGCATGAATTGGGAATGACTGGAAACCTGAGACACATACTATATACTATATACTATAGATACATACGCCACCCCAGTCAAGAAACACATTGCTTTTCTGCCTAAAACCTAACCAAACCTTAACCAGCTTCGTCACATCATAAAACAGTTATACTTTTGGTTTTATGAAGCATACCAAATGTTTATATTTGTCCGTCTGGAGGGTAATCATATGGTTCCTTTGGCTTCTAGTGTGGCACAGGAGGGTGTGGCCAAAAGTAAAAATAAAACAGTTTCCAGTTTTCTTTTGTGGCTAAAAGCAGCATTATAAAGTAAGTTAACATGTAATTGAAGCTCATGTCTCCTCTGGTTAGCTCATAAAAATCACAACCCTGGTTACACACAGCGGTTTTAAACCCAGTAATGACAGACTCTTTGGCCAGCGGTTAAGTTGTGAACACAGCACTGAAATATTATCACCGTTTAAGTTTTAGCAAAACTTGATTATTTACATGTCCAGCAGATCCAGAGGAACATTATAATTCATTTAGAGTTGTGTTTGTGTCCCCTTGATGAATTAATATCCAATTTACTCTCATTTAATCACATAAAAGAGGAGAAAAGGAGCCAATCCTTAAATTGAATAAGCTGAAACAAGAGAATGTTTTATTTCTACTCAAAACTGATAAATTTTCTTTTGATTGACTTGTTTGTTATTTTTTTCAGCTACTTTACATTCCTTTCAGGGAAAGTAGTGAGTCAAAACTTCTCCAGTAACCTTTGTAAATTGATGAGGTTGAGAGAAAATGCAATCCATCTGTTTTTATGCTCATTTTCAATTTGCACATTAAAAAACATGAGTACAAACTTCAGAAATGAGAGAAAAGGTGAAGTGGAAAAGTTTGTGTATCGCTATTAAACAATATATGACACTACCTACAATGGAAACAGACTCAACAAATAAATCATGACATATAAGTATATGACTAAAGAGCTAAAAAAATCGAATCTGTGTGGAGCAATTAGGAGACTGTGATGTTCTGCAAATGAATGCAGGAAACAAACATAAATGGAATATTTTTATCATGTTTTTAAAAGGTTTTCCACCATTTGAAGTTTGACTGTTACTCTTCTGTCATGTCATTTTACAGTATAGATAGATGATGGAAACTTGCATTAATTAACATTTTGTTCTGCAGATTTTTTGGGAGATTTGATTGAAAGTACATTTAGATGGAAACCTAAAATGTCAAAACTGATCCTGGAGTCTCGCTGAGCACCACAGACATTATTGGCTCCTTTATTTAAGTAAAAGTGTTAATATCACACTGTACAAATAATCTATAAGTGAAACTCCTGCATCGGAACTGTTACTGGAGTAAAAGTATGTAAGTATCAGGAAAATGTATTTAAAGTATTAAAAGCAAAAGTACTCAATGCAGAAAAATTGTATATATTATATCATTAGATTATTATTACTGGTGCATTAATATAAAAGCTGGATTTTACTGTTGTAGGAGCTCATTCAACTATTTTGACTGCAACTGCTCATCAATTTCCCCCCATTAATGGATTTATTGATTGTATGGTTTGTAAATATTCAGAAAATATTTAAGAAATGCTGTCCCAATTACCCAAAGCCTCGAAATTACTTAAATTAATTTGATTATTATCAAACTGGAACCATGAAAATCAAGCTGTACAAGTACAATATAATGTAGTGGAGTAGAAGTAAACAGGCAGGAAAAGTACTAAAGTACTTTGAGTAGATGTACTTCCACTCCTGCAGCATCCTGAAGCTGATTTTGTCCCTCAGGGTTTCCTCCTCGTTTACTCTTTGTGGCATTGATCGCCTCTCATACCTCCTCCCCTCCCCCTTCCTCTCCGTAGACACACACAGGGACAGCCTCTACGTGCTTCCCCCATGAAGTGCGCTGTGCGTTTCCTCACACGTCTGGCAATGGACCTAAAGCTCCTCAGGGTCTTCCCTTGTGTTTGAGCCATCTAAAAACAGTTTGTCCACTGTTGTTGTCCTCATCCTCCTCATCTTCATCAGACCCAGCGGGAGCAGAGAGGAGGAAGAAGATGGGGTGCTGCTCTGCACGATGCACGCTCATCCTCCTGTGTTGTCTGCAGTTGGTAAGATGTTTTTCTCTCTCACACATATGATGCTTCGACATAAACACATCTGCTTACTCATCTGTCTTCTGCTGATACTCAGCGAGCAACTTATTGCAGGAGAAAATGACCAAACATTGCAAATTAAAACGTTTCTAATGAGTTTAATAGCTGCAAAGACTTGTTGTTTATTAGAAAAGAAAGTTCCTTTGTTGGTGGTAAAAAGCTTTTACTTTTATTTATTTTTATTTTCTTCTGGCAATATAAAATCTTACATTTACACTAGAAGCTACAACATTTTAACACCAAAAGCAACTTAAATACCTGTTTAACACATTCTTTGGTGTTAGATTTGATGACCTTCCTTTCACATTGTCATTCAGGTTTCTACATAAATTGCAAACTGAAGTTAAATATAAGAAATTAGAGCTGATTGGTGCATTTATTGGTTATTAGTTAATCAACAGCTACACACAGTCTGTAATTCTAAGAAGAAAAGTAATTTATTTAGGTAACAAAGCCAAATAATGTGATTGTTCCAGCTTCTCAAGTGTGAATTTTTTTCAGGTTTTCTGGATGTTCTGTCAAAATAAACTGAATATCTTTGTGATTTAGACTGTTGGTCAAAGCTAACAAGCAATCTGTGGACATCACACTGGGCTCTGGTGAATTATGACGGGCATTTTTTCACTACTTTCTGGCATTTTTTTGGCCAAACAATCGTAAAATTAATCAATACTGAAAAGAATAGTTAGCTGCAGGCCTATTAAAAGTATAATTTCTGTGTTAATAAGTAAGCTCATTGTAGTTGTACAATGAGCTTATTTTCAATTTCATTGTAGAAATTATGAAAAAGCAGTGAGCATCCACCAGTGCAACCACCACAATGAAGGGCTGCACCCACTTTGTCCTCCTCCTGGATGTTTCCCACCCTGCCCCCCCCTGTTCATGACTGACTGGGGCACCGACCTCAGAGGACTTAACGCTAGAACCAGGGTCTGTCTGTTCCCCCAGCATGCTTTGTCCCTTAAGGCTCAGTTGCCTTGACAACTTCTAAGAATGAAAAATACAACCATGTGGGGATTTACAAGCGAGAGAGCAGCGTCTAAAAAGCCTGTGTGAAAAGTGAGTGTGTTTTATTTAAGTCATCATCAGGGGTCTCTGAGGTCTGTTTCTGCTCCTGTTGGCTCCTCCAGGTAACTGCGCTGGAGAGGCAGGTGTTTGACTTCCTCGGCTACCAGTGGGCTCCCGTCATGATCAACTTCTTCCACATCATCGTGGTCGTCCTGGGCCTGTTTGGCGTCATCCAGTACAGATCCCGCTACGTTATTTTGGTGAGGGGAACTGTGGTTTTCTTTTTAACTTGCAAAAAAGTTTGTTTTAAAGCACCGAATACTGATTGTTGGCTTATATCAGTGGTTCCTGGCCTTCTTTGGCTTGGTGGGAATAGTTCGATACGTGAGAAGAATAAGCATGTTAGCTTAGCTTAGACTAAAGACTAGAAATAAGGGTAAACAGCTATTCAAATGGTGACAGAATCTGCCCACACTTCCCAATCAGAGGCAGAGTATGGCGGGTCCTTGTCGAATGCTGGTGGGGGGGAATAATTGTGTTACGCGGGTGTTTAGGGGAGCGTATCTGGACTTAGTAGGAGCTTCTTGGTCACGGAAAGTGTTTTAAACCTGCATTCTGTGTAAAGGCCAGCAGGGGGCAGCTCCATTGGCTGCAATAAAAACCAATAATGTGCATGAAGTCTTATAGAGAAATGTCCTGACTGCTCACTCGATTTATTAGCTCAGTGAACAGTTTCCTAACAAGTTTATGGTCTCAATTGATAGTTTCAAGTCTTCTTCCATACAGCATGATGTTTATTTAGTAAATTATGGTTCAATTTATAGTAAAATAGACAACAAAGCAGGATATGGTTTAGAGCGTGTCAACCTTGTGATTTGCAGGTCATTCTCAGTGAGTCCGTAGAGCTCAGGCACGAAACTCAGATCAAACTGTCAAACTAGGCAGTGCTGATCAAATACAAAGCTAGATTCTGTTACTGCGATGCTTGTTACTCTCCTAAAACAATATTAGAAATATATTTTAGTGAACTGTAATACTAGATCATGTGTGACCCGTTGAGCCACTATACGTCTCCTCCGCTGGCTCCGACCAAGCATCATGGCGACGACCGTTTTACCAAACTCGAGGCTTCAAAACGGCACTCCACAAACCAATGGGTGATGTCACGATAGGCTCACACTTGGTCGGTACTCTATACCTGTGAGGACCGGCCCATTTCAGGCACTGGACACAAGAGTGGTGTTGATCTTCTAATTTAACTGACCCCAGTGTGAAGTGTATGTAGCATAAATTAATACGAGCAAAAACTGTGATATGCAGGGTTAACCGGGGGTGTTATTGATCGGATATCTGAGATGTGTGTTTGAGGGCAGTGTATGACAGAAATAACAACAATAGTAAGAATAACAACAATCAATATTAATGACTTTACCATCAGCAGACGAGGTTGTGTGACTGGGATTGTTTCATCTGAAGGATTTTTGTAGCCTTGAAGTAGTGATATCATCCAATATGTCACAAGATAAAAAGCAACATTCAGATGAAAGTTTAAAAAAAAAAAACACATAGTTTTGTGTAACAGAACTATTTTTCTTTCTGTCATCTCTCTTTAATCATTTTGTGTTGCCTCAGTATCTCAGGAGCCGGCGCTTTGTACAGTTGTGCCATTCAGCTGCACTGTGACCCTGTTAAATAAATGCTTTCTGTTGTGTCTTTGTCTTCTCAGTACCTGCTGTGGACGTTGTTGTGGGTTGGCTGGAATGTCTTTGTTAGTTGTCTGTACTTGGATTTGGGAGGGCTTTCAAAGGTAAGTCTAATGGTCACGTAAGTGTCAGATAATTAGAGACTCAGCTGTTAAATACAGTGTTCAGCTCGTTCCCTGTCTCAGGGACCTGCCTGTCACATGATTACACTCCTTCACAGTTTCTGTTCTCAGGTACAAAATATCTCGGTCGCTTGTTTATGTCTCCGATCTGCAGCGGCAATTATATTGAACTGGCTTTTTTTATGATGAAAATTAACCTAAATTGAACTTCCTAAATATTAAATTAGACTCCACTGACTTTGTGGTAACTCTTATTTTGTCTAAATAGCCTTAATAAAAACAGTAACAAGATCAGCTTGTTATCATCTTATCTAAATACAGTCAAACTCAGGGACTTTATGTTAAATTATGACCTGGAAAAACTCATTCACGCTTTTATTTCTAGCAGAGTTGACACTGGTCTTTTGACAGGACTCCCCAAAAACACCATGAAAATTATTCAAAATTCAGTTTATCAAAAAAAGTGCAACTCCCTCTTTTTGCAATAGCCACCACAATGTTTAATAATTTATTATAAAATGAGTGGAAATGTGTTATATATTGGGTTTAGGCTGTTTATTACTCAAATGTGGGGGTTGTTACATAATCAAATGAACATTTATTACATTACTATTACTATGTGTGTTGTTATTAATGTTATTATTGAATAATTACTGTGGTGGTATTAAATAGTTGTATCGGTCTTAACAGAGAAAACTCCTGATAATGAGTGTAAAAGTTTCCTAAATTGATTAATTTCTCATTCATCAAGTAAAAATACAAAACATTTCCTGGTTTCAGCTTCACGAATACAGCTCAGTTATTAGTTGGTCGTTTAAATACATTTTTACTGATCGTCAGCCTTGGTCTCTTGTTACAAATAGCTTGACTCTACATTAGAGCTTCTCCCTGGACTCATCACTGTGTAGTAAATCATTAAATTAGCATAACTATGCAGCACTTACAGGTATTAATCTGTTCTAACCAGTCCATCAATGCCTCCTTCACTCTTCTCTTTTTACCCCTTTGCTAAGACATTTGTAAGACTATACCTGCTTTTAATAATGATTATGGTTTAAGATCCTTGAAAATCCAATTTCACACGAGAAATACTTTAAACATTTATCCAGATAATTCTGCAGATACTTCTTCTAAATCAAATTTGTAATCACTTGCAGAACATTTGAACAACTGATATCTTCAATATCTGTGTAACCGACCGCTTTATACATTTAAAAAAAACATTTTCTTGCTGTTTTCTGCCAAATGCTGCAATCTTTATGTCTAATATTGACTTTTAAAACATAGGTTTGTGCCTCAGCTTTCATATTTTTGTCAAACTTGTTAATTTTATTGTTCCTGTGTTTGTCAGAAAAAATTAAAAAGCTCAGTCGAAGATGAAAATAATCATTAGTAGAGGCCCCAGACAGGAAGCGAGGCTCATATTAAACCCCATATCATGTTCACATTGCACCTGATCTTTGTTGCCGGTCACATTTCTCATTTCAGTCTTTTTTTTTTCCTCGCAGGGATTTGACACTTTCTGCTGCACACAGTCTCAGAAAAATAACAGAGATACATTTAAGAACCTAAGAGCTGAAAAGTTGCCTTCATATCTCTTCTCTTCTGCTCTGTCACTGCAGGACAGCGACATACTCACCCTGGGAGTGTCGTCGCATCGCTCCTGGTGGAAGGACAACGGGCCGAGGTGTGAGAGCGACGGCCTTCCCTCCGCTGGGTGGCGGAAATGGGAGCCGACCCCAGCGTTGAGCTGCTGGCTGGAGTACCAGTACGTAGAAGTCCTGCACTGCATCGTCCAGCTCCTCGTATCAGTGAGTCTCTGTCACACATTAGTTAGTGAGTAACATTAAACAGGTGAAAATGTCAACAGAACAACTCAATGTGGCTTTTAAAACTTAAATTGAAGAGCATATTACCATTTAATATTGTTTTAATATCAGTAAATGTGCTTCTGCGCACACAGGAATGCACTGTTGCCTAGCAACAGCGACTGTAAATTGGAAAACAGGCCTGGAAACATTAAAAAAAATAGCACCACGTTAACACACTGATATCTGAGTTTGTTTGTACGTTATACATTTCAGGGTACCAGCCCCTACAGGATTTTTCTGGGCTTTTTTGGGGATTGTTGCAGCTAAAATGTTTAATTTCTGCGACACAAGAAACTGCGACACAGAAATTGTAAATAGTAAAAAAAATCCAAAACAACTTGTTCCAGTGAGAAAAGAAACAGCAGTTTGGTGACGTGGGGCTCAACTTTTTGCAATGATCGGTGAAAAATTCAAGGGGGTCCTGGTTGAATTAATTGTTCTGGGGGGGAGGGACTTTGTGATGAATCCTGTGCTTTTAAAACAAACAAAAGAAAGAAAATTGAGAAAATTACTACACAATTTACTGTTTTTTTGTGTTAATTTATAGCTCCTGGGATTTGTTTATGCCTGCTACGTTGTCAGCACTCTCTCAGATGAGGAAGACAGCTGTAAGTATGCCCCTGATCAATCAGAGAAACCATATATATACATATATAAATATAATTTACCCACATTTTTTCCTGTGAAAGTACATTTGCAGTGTCATTTTGTTTCATTTTCTTACACTGAGGTTGATTTGCTTTGTATCATTTATGTTGTTTTTCCCCCCTGTTTGTTATAGTTAATTTCATGGGTGAATTTCATCATTCATCCAAACCCTCTCAGTTGATCTTCTAATAAAGACCTTTGGGTATGTTTAGTGGCATCATTACCTCTTTATTTGCACCCATTTTATCTCATTTCCCATCTCATATACAATGTATTTTCTATATCTTTTGCTCAGATTATATAATAACCGCCAAGGTAAAGGCCAAGGAGGAGCCGGGCAAGAAGGGGAGACAACTCTGAAGACCTGTTTGTCAATAAAAACATCTGTTACAGATGTTGAACCTCACCGTGCACTAACTCTACACACTGTCCCGAGTAAACAGGGGCATTTCCAGTCGCCTTTATCGCTGCATATGATGCGTTTTTTCCTCAGGCCTTTCTGTAAAACTACATGTAACTCTACCTCTGTGTGTGTGTGTGTGTGTGTGTGTGAAAGAGATAGACATCACTAGATATGAAGCACTCAAGTGTGATTTTTTAAAAGATGTAAATAAGTACCTCATTCTTTCTGGTGTTTTGCAAAAATGTGTAAATTATTAATGTCATTTCAATTAGAAAAAGTGACCATCCTAACTTGTGTGTAGTGTATGATATAATTCAGTGAAATAAACCATGCATACAATACAGCTTTTATTGGGTTGTTGCACACATTTCTTTATTTTTAATAAGGCTTTTTGTGCTCCTGATGGCTCCTTAACACTAATGATAATTTGTAGGGCTGCACAAACTGGTAAAAACAAACTAATATTGCCATAATTGTGACTGAATTACCAGATGAATCTCGATTTGTGGGAATTTTTTGCATCGCTATTTTCATTATCATCATTTTCATTATTAAAAACACAATAACAACCATGATGATGTGACATTTGTTGGGCTGTGTACCAAACAAACATGTTTTCTTACATGGTCACGGCATCTCTGTACCTCTACAGTACTTAATATGCAGTAGTAGTAGTGCAGTAGTATTATGCACAACATAATAATGCTGTAAAGTCACACATTTTACCTTTAATTCAAAAACAACAGCAGCTTCTGCAATTTATATATATATATGTCGACTAATTGTGCAGCCCTAAATCTTTCTTAAAAGCAAAACGACTACACCGAGACATATTCACAGCCTTCTGGTGGCTCTCATGTGTATTTAAAAGGCCTAATCAATAAGAAAACAGTATATTTATTTTACACCTATAATCGTAAACACGATCACAACAGAACGTTCAGCTCTGCTGCTGCTAGGTAGCCGCGGACGCGTCGCCCTACGTCACCGACGTCATTTCCGGCCTCGCCGAACCCCGGATGAAGCTGCCATTGGGGCAAGTGAGCAGGGCCACCGAGGCTGCTTGGATTTTAATTTAACGGCGAGCGGGGGTCGCGGCGGATTGAAGCCCCGCTGGATTAATGTGGACAGGACAGCGGCGCGGAGTGCCAGCAGGGCTGCGACGAGCAAACTGTCCGCGCCGAGCCGAGCCGAGCCGAGCCGAGCCGAGACAACCGGCTAACAGCTGCTGCTAACTGTGTTTGAACTGTTAGCACAAGTAACGCAGAGAGAGAGAGAGAGAGAGAGAGAGAGAGAGAGAGAGAGAGAGATATTAGCCTCTTCCACACAGCGGAGTTTGTGCAGCTTACACACTGTGCGCGTTGTCAGGGCTTCAGTTTTAAACAACCTGCTGGATGAATGATGTCTGCCGCCAGTATCGACCCTCAGGTAAGCAGCGAGCTTCTCTTTCATTTATTTATGTATCAGCGAGGTGTGTGTGTGTGTGTGTGTGTGTGTGTGTGTGTGTGTGTGTGTGTGTGTGTGTGTGTGTGTGTGTGTGTGTGTGTGTGTCCCACTCTGAAGGCGATGCCAGCTAGTCAGGCTAGTTAGCCAGCTAAAAGAAAAAGAGGTGGTGGGGGGGGGGAGGTTAGGCCTGGACCACCACAGCTTCCCAGTAAAAAGGTGTCCGACTTGCAGCCGCTGTTTTTTCACTGCATGTGTGTTTTGTGTGTCCATGTATAAACGTTGTCAGTGTTGCAGCTTGGATAATGTGTGATGCTTTGACTTGAACACTGGAGACCCATGCAAGCTTTTCTTTTATGTCTCCTTTCCACATGCATTCCTCCTCCTCCTCTTTTTTTTTTTTTTTTTTTTTTTTAAAAATGTGACCACCTAAAGACATCGAAAGGACAAGATGCAAGCAAAGGTAAGAGGAAAAATATGCCTTTTAACACCTTGTATACCCTGATGCACAGCTGTCACCTGATGCCTCCATATATCATTATGTTTGTAGTCCTTATGTCAACAGAGAGAACCTATATTTTAATCCACGATTGCTGTGTAGTTGTGCTTATCGATGCAAAACATCTTGCACATTTCACCAAAAGGTCAACTCCTGTAAAGGTTAGGTTTATCTGACAGACAGGATAATCTATTTTAAATCACTAAACATCACTCTTTGTTTATTTAAAATGAATAAATCTCTTGTCTCTTCAGTCCCAGCTAGAATTGCTCTTTTTTTCTGGGATGTTGTAGAAGAAATTATAGTTGCATATTTTCCGCGATATCGTGGCGGAAACGTGCACAACGCAGATATTCGTGGCTTCGTTGTGGCTTCGTCGGGTTGTTTGGAGGTTTGTTTTGTGTAAATTCGGATGTTCCAGCTCTGACGACTGATTCTGTTGCAGCCTTTCCAGTTTCAGTGCAGAATGGCTCCCTCCACCAGAAGGATACAGTCCATGACAATGACTTTGAGCCCTATCTCACCAGTCAGTCTAATCAGGTACTGTGACACTAAAATCTTCTTATTTTTAACGAATCATGGCCGCATCTTGTTGCCCCTAACAAATGATCTTAACTCTTATTTCTGTTTGTAGAATAACAGCTATCAATCAATGACAGACCCTTACCTGTCCAGCTACTATGCCCCCTCCATTGGGTTTCCTTACCCTCTCAGTGAGGCTCCTTGGTCTACAGGAGGTGACCCACCGATTCCCTACCTGACACCCTATGCCCCCCTCAGCAATGGAGACCATCACTTCATGCACGACACGGTGTTTGGGCAGCCGGGTGGGCTCAGCAGCAGCATCTATCCTCACAGGTTTAACTTTTTCCCAGAGAACCCGGCCTTCTCAGCCTGGGGCACCAGCGGTTCTCAGGGCCAGCAGACTCAGAGCTCGGCCTACGGGGGCAGTTACAGCTACCCGCCCAGCTCTCTAGGAGGCACCTTGGTCCCCGATGGCCAGACAGGTTTCCATAGTGACACCCTAAGCAAGGCTCCAGGTATGAACAGCCTAGAGCAGGGCATGCTGGGCCTAAAAATAGGTGGGGATGTGACAGGAAGTGGCTCGGGTGTGAAGAGTGCAGGCTCTGTGATTGGTGGCGGTGGCGGTGTAGCTGCAGCTGTTGCCACGGGCAACGGTGGCACACCAATTGGAATGCCCCCTCCGAAACCGACATCGTGGGCTGCTATCGCTAGTAAACCTGCCAAGCTGCAGCAACAAAAGACGAAGAACAAACCCGGCACGCCCATCGCTGTTGGAGCTCTGCCTCCACCTCCCATTAAACACAACATGGACATTGATACATGGGATAATAAAGGGACTGTTACCAAGATGGCCCCTCCTTTACCCCCGCACCACCATCACCACCACCACCATCACCAGCAGCACCAGCCCCAGCTTCACTCCCATGCTCCCAGTCTCCTACCCCCCCTTCAACAGTCCCTACAGTCTGCCCAGTCCCTCGTGCAGCAGATGACCATGCAGGGTCCTCCACCACCTCCTCCACAGTCCTACCAGAACCACAACTCCGCTCCAACGCCTCAGACCCGCTGGGTAGCCCCACGCAACCGCAACTTGTGCTATGGCGGTGGAAGCTTGGACAGCAGTGGCTCCTCTAACGGCGGCGGCGTTGGTAACGGAGGTGGCGGTGGGGTGCCTCCGGAGCCGGGATCAGACTCCCACCCTGTGCTGGAGAAGCTGCGAGCGGCCCACAGCTACAACCCCAAGGAGTTTGACTGGAACCTGAAAAACGGCCGCGTGTTCATCATCAAGAGCTACTCTGAGGACGACATCCACCGCTCCATCAAGTACTCCATCTGGTGCAGCACGGAGCACGGCAACAAACGTTTGGACTCAGCCTTCCGAGCTATGAACGCCAAAGGTCCTGTCTACTTATTGTTCAGCGTCAACGGCAGCGGCCATTTCTGCGGCGTGGCCGAAATGCGCTCGCCTGTGGACTACGGCACCAGTGCTGGCGTTTGGGCGCAGGACAAGTGGAAGGGCAAGTTTGATGTGAACTGGTTGTTTGTTAAGGACGTGCCAAACAGCCAGCTGCGCCACATCCGCCTGGAGAACAATGACAACAAACCGGTCACCAACTCACGTGACACTCAAGAGGTTCCTCTGGAAAAGGCGAAGCAGGTGCTCAAGATCATCGCCCAGTACAAACACACCACCTCCATCTTTGATGACTTTTCCCACTATGAGAAGAAGCAGGAAGAGGAGGAGGTGGTGAAAAAGGTAGTGATTTCCTTTTAGACTTTGGACACAGTTTTAAAGATATTTCGGGACTGTACAAAAATTATTTAGGTGGGTGAAAAAAAACTTCCTATTGATCAGATTATGAAGTAAAAATATATATTGAACTGGTTTATAGTTCCAGTGTGTAACTTTTAGGAGGATCTATTGGCAGAAATTGAATATAATATTCGTAGGTATGTTTTCATTAGTGTATAATCACCTGAAAATGAGGATCTTTATGTTTTTGTTACCTTAGATTGAGACGTTAATGTCTATAGACGCTGCGGGTTCCACGGAGGCTGCGATGTTTCCACAGTAACCCAGAGCAGACAAACATTGGCTCTAGATCGGAGCGTTCCCATTTCATGCACATTTCACAGCCACCGTAGTTTCTCCTTTGTGCTTGGAAGAGGAGGGTGACTACACACTGGTCCTAATATTTAAAATGATGTATCCTGGCAGCCTTTCAACATCCTTATGTCCCATAATCAAGAGAACTGTTACACATCCGCCTGTGGAAAAAATATTAGGTACCCCAATTTAAACCTTCCTTATCTTTTAATGGATCATTAATTTGCATATTAGAGGTAAAATTTGTGATGCTTAGGGACTTAATAAGAAAAATAAATGTGATTTTTGGCTCCAGTGATGTTGGCAGTTAGTTGTCATAATTAAACCGCATTATGAGGCAAAGTTAAAGTTTTAGCTTCTTGTCTGACTGTAATGAAGAAAATTAAGCCCTGACACAGACATGACTGCTGCAAAACACACCTTTTATGGAACACATCTTGTTTATGTAACTGTTTGATCTAGTTTTTACGTAATAAATGTTAGAAGGGAAAGCTTAAAAATGAATTAAAGACCCTCCCCTGCTCTCCCAAAAACTCCTCTCCTCATCAAAAATAAAAATTCCCACCACCTCGCTGCTTAATAATATTTGTACAGTCCTTTATTTGTAAGATGGTTTTTATTCTTTTAACTTGTTTGACTGGTCCTTGATTTGAAATAACTAGAAAATCTGCTGATGAACTGTTTTTAAATATTGTGGTAAAAACTGATGAGATGTGTGTTTCTGATTTTTTTTTTTTTTTAAACAGAGCTATGAGCCTGCGTCAATACA